GTTTGTTGACCTGTGATCTGAAACATCTGTCTGTCTGTCTGTCTGTCTGTCTGTCTCTCTCTCTGTCTCTCTGTCTCTCTCTCTCTTTCTCTCTCATATACACATGTATGCACTCACACACATTATGGTCTGCCATTTGCATATGGAAGTCTAGAATTATAGAACTATTGAACTTGGATTTTTTTTATTTTACAAGCACTGATGTTTTGTCTCCATATATATATGTGTGTGAAGTTGTTGGATCCAATGGAACTGGAATTACAGACAGTTGTGAGATGCCATTTGGGTGCTGAGAATTCAACAAGGGTACTCAGGAAGAGCAATCAATGCTCTTAATCACTGAGCCATCTCTCCAGCCCTTCTGAATTCTTGAAGTAAATAGGGTAACATGGAGTTGAGCTAGTTTTATAGATAATACTGGTCTTAGCAAGGACATCTTCTCTTTTTTAGTACAGTTATCAATTAAAAGTCATTAATAACTAGCCATATATTTTCAATGGTCACATAAATTATATACTCTAATATTCATACATGTTTCAACAATTGGTAGAAAATGTTTCCAACATATTTATTATAATTGGTAGAAATGTATTTCCAACAGATCCATTAGAAAATTGTTGTTTTGTTATTCAATTTTACTTCCCTGTGTGTGGTTTTGAACTTCATCTTCCTGTTATCTCCCTTTTCGTTGCTACCCTAAGACATAAGCACCAGAAACACCACAGAGTCATGAAGCATCCTCAATCTACCCTATTGCTGTTTCTAATGTTCCTTTGTCCTCTTCATTCTCCTTTGTCTTCTGTTTACTCATTTTCATTAGACAATAGAGTTCTGATTCTAATCATTTTCCTTAAGGATAAAATCAATTTTAATGCTACTTTTGCACAAGACAGACAAAGGCAAAACATTTTGTCACAAAAACTTACCACATGCAGAGTGAACAACAACAACAAAAAGAATTCAAGTTAGATAATGCAGTAAGATAATGCTGCAATCCTTTTTCTTTCATCCCCTGAAGCATTTTTCTCTGACAATATTTTCTGTTCCTAAGTTCAGCGTCCTGTAGCAAGCATGGCCAGCAATACAGAATACTTTCAATTAATAGTTCCCTACTTCTCTGGTCGCTAAGCAACTGACCTATGGTGAGGAATGCATAATGATACCTGGACATCTTATAGTGGTAGGAAGTATATACTTCACTGGTTTTATTTGCTGTTCTCGATTGGTCCTATAACAAATGGCTAAGTACATGGCACACTATTTGATAGTAGTTTTCTCTAGTAAACTGAAAGGATAAAATTATCTCTAGAAAAAGAAGAAACAGATGACACCAAATGACTTTTTTTTACAACTCTCTTTTGTCATTCTGTTTCTATAAAGGCAATCCAGTTAATATTATGCATATTTCAAAACAGTGCTGAAGTTATTGTTCATAATATGTAGAAACTGTGAGTGAACCAAGAAAAGAATCCCCCAAAGTGAAGGAATAAAAGTGATACAATGTAAATTAAAATGGAAATCATCAGGCACACAATATATGTGGTCATTTTCCGAAGCATCTCTGTACATGTTAGAGTAGAAAAGTATCAGCTGAATCAGAAGTAAAAAGTTTATCACCTTACCTGTGTCCGAATTCCTCCATCCATCTATCACACCACAATGCTTAATTCCTTTGAATTCTGTTTGTGTTCACCAGAGCTGAAGCTAGCATCTCTTATCACAGAAGTGCTTAAAGAACATCCCTCTATGAGATTTCTATGTCCTTTGTCTATTTTGTACATTTAACTTTCTATGCTTCTTTAGAGTAATAGATTATCATTCTTTACATAGTCTAGACTTGACATGTTTGAAACTAAAATATGATTGTTTGTACTGTTGTATCTGTATATGTTACATGCAAATGTATTCTAAGTGCTACTGGTAGAGTATAACTCAATATACATTGAAAAATGGCTGCAAATTTACTGAAACCCTACAAATCTCCTTGACTTCATATAGTTTATGTTATGCAATGAAAATCCTTGAGGATTTGGTTTTGTTCATTTTTCATTTATATTACAAATAAGCTTCTTTTACATGTCAGTCCCAGTTTCCTTTCCCTCACCTCCTACCCTGCACCCCACAGACCCCCTATCCTATCCCCTCTCTGCTCCCCAGGGAGGGTGAAGCCTTCCAAGTGGGGTATTCTAAATCTGACATTTGGAGCAGCGCCTGGACCCTCCCCTGTGTGTCTAGACAAAGAGAGCATCCCTCTATGTGGAGTGTGCTCCCAAAGTCCATTTGTGTAATAGGGATAAATACTGTTCCTCTACCAGAAGCCCCACAGATTAACCAGACCTCAAAACTGACATCTTCATTCAGAGCATCTGGAACAGTCCAATGTTGGTATCCCAGCTATCAATCTGGGGTCCATGAGCTCTGTCTTGTTCCTGTCAGGTGTTTCTGGGGGTTTCTCCAGCCTGGTCTTGACCCCTTTGCTATTCACTCTTTCCTCTCTGCGACTAGATTGCAGAATTTGGTTCAGTTTTTAGCTGTTGGTGTCTGTTTCCATAAGCTACTCGATGAAGTCTAGGATGCGATATAATGTAGTCATCAATTTCATTTGGGGAGAAGGGCATTTAAGAAGTTGAATAGGCATTACAGTGCATTTTAAACTTTGATAATTGAGAAATTAAATTAGTTTAAACCGCATCTTGAATGTTTCTTTGTAAAAAATACGTCTAAATAGACACCGTAACTTATTTACATATATTCAATTGATTCTAACGTTTTAGCAGAGCTCATTTTTTGTACAAAGCTGTTTTAACTAATAATACATAACTAGTACACTCCTGCATAAGCAAATGTATGTAGGCACACACACACACACACACACACACACACACACACACACACACACACACACACGCGCGCGCGCGCGCGCGCGCACTGGGCAGGGAACACACAGATTTTGCCCTTCACTAGGATCTACTTGGTATCAGAGATAAACACATGGACAACTTGGATGGGATATCCTCTCTCATCTGTAATAACAAAGCAACCCTCTCTTTCTTTACCTTTAGAAAAGAGAAAAAAGAAAACAAACAAAAACCTTGAAAACATTAAGTAAAACAATTCTGCTTAAAGAAGTAAAACCATTTGAATAATGTCGATTTTTCATTGGAAAGCAAGAGAGCTATCAGATAGACACATTTCTGAAGTAGCTGAAGATATGAACTATCAATGAAGATATGAACTTCAGAGCTGGGTATATGATAAAATATTTCAGGAGTAAAAAATAAATCAAAGACTTTCTAATATGATGGTGGGGGAGGCTTTTAGCCCTATCCTAAGGAAAAACTGTTATGGCTTCAGTCTGTTGTTGTGATAAAATATTGTCACTAAAATAAACATAGAAGAGGAAAAAATTTACTTGGATCACACTTCCAGATCACAGTTTATCACCAAAAGAAATCAGGGCAGAAACTCAACCAGAATCTGAGTCAAAAACCATGAAGAACTCTGCTTGAGGCTTGTTTACAGGTTTCTGCTTAACTGTTTTTGATTCCAGAACACCTGTCTCAGGAAGGTGAAACACAGAAGGTTAGGACTTCCTGGTTTAATTAGTGATTAAGACAGTTCCACACAGACTTGCTACAGGGTATTCTGGTCTATACACCACATACATTTCTGCTTTTAGTTGACTCATCTAAGCTGTGTCAAATTGACAAATTTAGCTAACCTGGACAGTAGCTATTCTTGACATTAGTGGGGAATTAGGCCAAACATTTTTAGTCATTAGAAAGAAGAAGATAACAACAGAAAGAAAAAAGAAACATGGGCAAACATACTGAGTGTTATGGTTGATTTGTGAAGCAAAACATGGCAATGCTGCCCTATATAGTACTTAATACATACAGAAAAGTTTAAATACATACGTTATAGATGGAGATTAGTAAAATTATGTTGAAGTAGGTATTTTGTACTTTACTAAATGTAATATTCTGGTGATTGTATAAGCTATAAAATTTACACATATGAAAAATTGCTTTTTGCTTTACACAAATGCATACTCAATTCTAGTTTCCTGGGTTGGATTTTTATTGAAAATGTAACCACTCAACAAAGTAAGGGGAAGGGAAGATGGATTTCTATGTATTATATTTTGTTTTTTTTCTGCTCTCAGATAATCTGGCTCTTATAATCATTCTACCTCATCTTCTTCAATTTTGCATGAGTCATAGCTACCAGAGTGCTTTATAGATGTATCCATTGGGACTGGAATCAACAATTCTGCATTTTGATTGGTTATGTTTTTTAGTGATATATTGAATTTTGTCTGTTACAAAGAGAAGATTTTTGATGGAAGGTAAGGACTACTTACATTTGGGTATAAGGAATAATGTTTATAGCTTGTTGTTGTGAATTATGCTGGGTTAGTAAATTACTATTTGCAGATTCCCCTCCAATAACTATAATTTGGCCAATATAGACTTTATTGGTCTATAAATCTATAATTATTTCAAACTTGTATGTTAGTTATTTAGAAGAAATATAGTGAATTTCCAAGTTTTATATTTTTTGGGTGGGGGTGCTTCAATACAGGGTTTCTCTGTGGCTTGGGAGGCTGTCCTGGAACTAACTCTTGTAGACTAGGCTGGTCTCAAACTCACATAGATCTGCCTGCTTCTGTCTCCTGAGTGCTGGGTTTAAGGCATCCAAGTTTTATATTAAAGGAAGACTACCAAGATTTTGTCTCAAAAGAAAAAAAATGAAGATTCTCCATTATTGAAACAATTGTAAGAACCCATGGAGTGATTAAACTTTTTTAACCCATCAATTTCAATGAAATAGAAGTAACTATAATGTTCTGTTAATTATTTTATGTCTTTAATCATCCACAATTAATAAGTTCTATATTATACAAATAATTTACCTAAGAGAGTCCTCAATCTTCAAAAATTAGGCAATTCCCACAAGAGATCTAAATATTCTTATTATCCTACAAATTTTATACATCCACAACCATAGGGAAGAGAGTAATGGGAGAGGGGAAGCAAGGGTACCAAATGAAGGGAGTGGGAACCAGGGATGAATATGGTCAACAACATAGTGTAACTGAAAGAAACTGGCTAGATAAAACCAACAGAACATGCAACACTATAGGCCAGTAAAGTCTTTGGAAACCCATTACTCTAAACCTCTCATAGTTCCCAACTTTGCTATAAAGGTTGAAAAAAAAATAAAGATGAGGGACACACTACCCAATTTTAAATACTTCCTCAAAGACATAGTTTAAGATAGGCAAATTTTAAGTTCAATATAAATTTTAATTCCTCTTTTACTGTTGTTATTATGGTATTTAAATTGATTGATTACTTTACCTAGATGGAGCTTATAGATAAGTCACCACAATCTCTTCCAATGTTGTCATTCCTGGGCCTTTCTCTATCAATGTTCTAGAGACTGAACTGGTATATGTTGAGGGTTATAACTCCAAATCCAAAGTTGAGACTCTTTTTTTACCCTATAGAAACCTTGTGACATAATTCTGGCCTCTTAATGGAGGCTTATTTCTCTGGGTTTTAACCCCTTGTAGCGCCGGGTCTTTTTACCTCTTATAATCCCTCAATTTCAAGTAACTTTAAGTGGCAAGAACACATAGCAACAAGTGATAGCAGCCAGCACCTGACAGTGTAGCAGCTTTCATGGTAGGATCTCTGCCTACCAGGACAAATGTCATGATACTTGGGAATAGGTGTTTTGAATCCCATACCCTTTAGGGCTTAAGAGCTCCTTGGAAATGACCCATGGTTTCTTTTCAGCTTTTTAAATTCTCTCATTCTTTTTTCTCTTCTTTTTTCTTTTTCTTCCCTTTTATCCAGGTGAAGAAAAGTTTTGCATTATGGGTAAGGAATAACAGACAGCAAAATACAAGGAAGAAGACCCTCTTCAAAGCAGACAAGTTCCTCTGGAAGCCAGCTGAAGCTTGGGGTCTCCTAAAAGGATGGGAATTTTGAGGCTCTCAGGGTGTCTTCCTCACCCATTTTAGGGTTGATTAGCATGAATGAAAGCAGTGAGGTTGATAAAATCCACAAGTTTGAGGTAAACATGTCCAGATCTGGCTGTGAACATGTAAAATCAATTCACATGGGGAAGGTGGTGCTAGTAGGTAAAAAAAACAAACAAACAAAAAAACAAAACAAAACCACCATGCCTTTGCTTTGAGCGGCAAAGATACTTTGTTCACATCAGGGGGATGAGGAAGACATCATCTGTCTTGGGGTTTTACTATCTGTTTTATCTAGTCATGGCCTGTCTGTTTTCCTATCAGTGAAGCTGTCTAACTCCTAGTCTATCATTCCCTCCTAGAAGAGGAGCACCCTTAAGTGCTGCCATGGCTTGGGAAATTGACAATGTTAACTTGCATCTAAGGATGCAAGGATAAGGACAGCACTTAGAGTGCCTCCAAGGAGGGTCACTGTGAAAGCCCATGATGAAACTTAACAGATGCCAAAGATCCAGGTCATTTGACAACTCTGTTCATCTTTGCAGCAGGCTTGGTGAGGGAGGCATCACCTATAACACACAAAAAGCACAACTGTTAGCATTAGTAGAATCCCTATGGAGCATTTTGTAGGAGAAGTTTTACCCTTATTAGAGATAGAGGACAGGCAAAGCCATCTACAGAGCCCTTCACAGGCTTTGATGTAATCAATAACAAGACTGGTGATTTCTTTGCTGTGTTGTTCATTAGAAGATGTACAACATGAGGAAAACAGTAGGTTTGATTCAAGGCAATATCTACTGTCTGGGATTGAGTTCTAAAGTAGGCTCTCAAGTCTCCTCTGTTACAAATCCATGGGGAGCATTAAGAAACAACTTCAAATACAAAAAATTGCTAGATGTCATGATTAATGTCAGTCTTGGTAAGTAACGTCAAATATAATTGTATATCTTTCCAGTACCAGAGCCATTTAGATCTGTTTCTAAATTGTTAAGGATATCTGAGGGGGTTTGACCAATGGAAGTATTATCATGCAGTCAGTTGTTTGTTACCTCAGACTCCTACATAAGAAGTAAATGCCTAGGAACTTTGTAAGAACAACACAGTTAAGTACTAGGCTCAATAGATCTTCCTATCTAGCAGGAAGTATCCCTGACAATGTACCAGATGTAATTTCCAGTGCCAATGTGCCCTTTGTGATGAATCTGAGTCAAATCCAGATTATTATTGTATTTATTGATCACAACTGGTTGTCAACATCTAACTGACAATCTAACAGAGAAAAACAATCAGGACTATGAATTTTTAAAAATAATTGTCTTAGACATTCTGAATAATGTCCCCAAAACTGTGAGTTTGAAAACAGCATCGGATACTCTCAATTAATCTTAGAACATGGACAACTAGGATGCAGGAGAACACATTACGGTTGGGAGAAGCATTGCATCAGTGATTATTTTATAGTTGATTAAAAAATATTTTTCTAAAATAAGGCTTTGACCTTTAAGAGGATAGAACTGCTTTTCTCATTTGTGGTAGATATTGCAATGTTGAGTTGAGCCAATATTTTTTCCTATATCTGTGCATCATTTTATTATTTTTATTTAAGCATGAAGAGAACAATTAGTGAGAATAGTTGTCCAAATAATGTCTTCTATAGCTAAGAACATTGTCTGAAATGTGCAGTTCCTTGGTCTGTTAAGCAACATTACAATCATTTTAATCCTACTTATTGTTATGATTCAGGCATTATGCTGGCATGCCCCTGTCACCTGGCAGGATGCACTTAGGCTGTCTCGGATCCTATGGTTGCTGTGTCATTATATGTTCCTCACACAGATACAAAGTTTTCATGAAGAGGCAAACTCTACCTACCTCTCCCTTCTCCTTCTTTCAGCCAGCTCTATTCTCTTTTTCTTCTATCTCTCTCTCCCTCTCTCTATCCCTCTCTTTCCTCTCTCCCTCTCTCCCGTCTCCCACTCCCTTTCCTGCCCAATAAAACTTCCTTCCCATGTAAATTCTGCCTGACAGTGAGTTTGTCTCCTATGATGGATGAACTGCTGTCCTACTTTGAGCCACATTCCTAAGAGTTATTATTTTCTAATGAATGTCCAAGACAATGTAGGTAGTCAGAATTTTACATTCAAGGCCGCTTGAGGATCTGGTGCTGTCAGGTCATGTGGGCTTGGGAAGAACTTCTGGATCTGCTAGTCATTCTTTTACTAGTCATTCTATTTGAGGTTAAGTTAACTGCCTCACTGGAAAAAATGTTCCACTTGAAAATGGGGATGAAATATATCCTCTGTTTTGATCTGTTTTTATGTAGACTGGAAACTGGTTAGAAAGATTCCCAGTGACATCTATGTGGACTCTCAGAACAAGAGACCTGGTGACCCCACAGAGTTACAACACATTCTGAGAGCTGTTTCAGAGTCTCCTGGGATGTAACTGACCTTAAAGAGCAAGGGCAAATATTCTCCATTCTAATAGACTTGGCCCCATATGTATAAACCTCCAAATGTGTTTATTGGACCAGAAAATCAGCACTGCCTGTCTGCACAATTCAATGTAGGTTATAAGTAGGTCAGGTGCTTTGGATATAGCCAGTTATGGGACTGTATGGAAAGTCTTCCTCATTTTCAGTGTAACCAGTGCTCCATGTAGTTTCTGGCCTTGCTTCTCACTGGAGCTCTTCACCAGCCTTCTCACTGCTGTTGCTTCTGTTGCTACTGCAACAGCAGGGCAAGTAATTTCTGCCACCTCAATATTAATGCAGTGGTTCCCTTTGTTATTGCCATTATTCAGGTTTTATGTTCTTGTTTCTTTGCAAATAGCTCAGCCTATTCAACTGTCTTGGTTTTTCAATTGCTATGAAGAGATATCATGACCACTGCAACTATTATAAAGGAAAAGATTTAGTTGGGGCTGTTTCAGTGGCTTCCATTAACACCATGGAGGGAAATGTGGTGTTACAAAGGGAGACAATGATGCTGGAGAAGAAGGTGGGATTTCTACATCCAGAGCATCAGGCAGGAGGAAAAGAATGCATACTGGGCCTAGCTTGCTCATCGGAGATCTCAAAGACCAACACAGTGACATACTTCTTCAATAGCACACCTACTCCAACAATGTCATACCACATAATAGTGCCATGCTCTATGAGTCAAGCACCTAGTCAACCAAACATAGCCTAAGGACTAATGTTCCCTCTTATCATCAACGAAATACTGGAATGTTAGGTGTAATAAAGACCACCAAAATGGCAGTGCTGATAACAGTCTCCTAAACAAAAGGACCATGAGCATGTAAACAGAAGGGTTGTTATTTGGTGAAGAGAAGTTTCAATTCAACATTCCTTATGAATCTTGTAAGGATAATTTCCAGTTACATGGAAAACTACTACCTCCCTTTCTTCCACAAAGGTCATTTACCCAGGACATAGGCATCTATTTCCTGACCAATCTGAATAGCCTGCACCAAATTGAATCCCCTACCCCTCTGCTGAGTGTCATGTAAACTTCTTGCGGTGTTGCAAAGCTGCTGTCTTCTATTCTTGAAGGCAGATCAGTATTTTATATTCCCAATAACTATTATTTCTTCCCATGGAGTGGTCCAATCTAGAGGTTTCAGTGCCCTAATACATGACCATTATTCCCAGTGCAGCTATAATATGATAAAAATCCAAAGTGTATCCATTTTATTTATCTCTGTAACTTTATCTTTATTCTCCTATACTATTACATAAACATCTAGGAACCATAATTCTAATAGACACTATTTATGGCAGGAAATTATCAATATGGAGCCAGGTAGAAATGCAATGGATTTTAATACGGAAAAGCCTGACTTACACAAGGACCTAGCCACCCATCGCGGCAGCAGTCTGTACAGCAAACTGAAAGCAAAACTGAAAGTGACCAGCCACCTCACCTCCTCTCACTCCACATCACCCTGACCATGACCTCACAGGCGTGGTCAGGCACAACTTTAGCCAGCCCCTAAGCAGGTGTAGCTACAGCTTTCCCTACAATTCCCCTTTTAGTCTAAAAGGGAATTAAAACTGTTGCCTTTTTAAACCTTTCGAGATGGCTTCTCCTACCCAAGCTCCAGTATCTTGCACATTATAATCAATGTTGGCTGAATGTAAAACCCATTCTTCTATCAGAGCTGATCAAATCTTTAAAGGCAAAAGTATTCTTTTGCATATTGGGTTTGCATTCTCATAAGCTATTTTATATATAATTGATTGTCTTGTTTCTGGATCTGTTGCCTGTAATTCTATTGCCCTAGTTAACCTTGGTAAGAAGTCCTGGAACTGTTCTGTAGGTCCCTGTTCTATTCTGGTATAAGGTTCTAGGCCTTCTTCTGGCTCAAGAAACTTATCCCAGGCATTTAATGCTGCTTTCCTGCATAGGGACAATATATGATCATCATATTCAGCCTGAACCTGTGGGTTAGCATAAATACCCTCACCAAGAAAATTATCTAGGGGTCTTCAAAAGCTTCCTTGTATGTCCCAATGCTCAAAGAGCTTTGCCACTTCCCTCACCAATGCCTTCCACTGGATTTTGCATGAATTCTCAAGTACAGCTAATACCAATCATTCCCAATCTATGGGTGTCACCCTGTTAAATGTTGCCCATGAAGGTAATAGCTGTTTTACATATAGGCTATGGAGCCCATATGAGACAACTGATTCTTTAAAAGTCTTAAGATCCTTCAGCTTTATAGGTTGCCATACATAAGCCATCTGTACCTGAGGGTGTTTCTTAGAAGCTGGCTTTTCTACCATGGTTGCTGGGTACACTAATGGTGTAAGAGTAACACCCTTAAAGGAATAGTCATGATACCTGGGTGGAGTAGGTGCCTCAGATTGGAGTGATTCTGCCTCTGAGTCACCCCAATGATCTTTAAGCCTAGTAATGATATACTTATGAAAAGTTTCAATTTCTTTAATCATAAAAGATTCCAAGCATGTTAGTGAATCTGTAAATTGCTCTAACTGCTCCTCTACACGTTTTTCTAGGTCTTTAATACAGTCATCCTTAGGCAGCCTCTGGATGGTATGGAAACTGCCTTTTAGGTATTGGAGTCTAGATTCAAGGCCATGATTTGCTGATTTTGAATCCTCAGCATTCAACCATATGGACCTATGTAGTCTATCAGCCCTGTACTGTAAATTGTCTTCCAAACATTCAAATATAGACTCAAATTTGTGATCTGCTACCTTAGATGCTTCAATAATTGATTGAATGGTATTGTCAAATACTTCAACCATATCATGGGTATTCTGCACCTTTGCATCTAGTTTCTGGGTAACAGAGCCTATCTGAGTGTCTAGCTGGCTACAGATATTCTTTAGTTCATCACGGTTATCTGACAGCCTAGCCTCTAAGGCCTCAGACATGGAGGATCTCTATGTGTTTATCTTATCATAAATATGCTGCATCTCATCTTGGGTAACAAACAGCTCTGTCTTTAGTATATTGGACACAGAGCCAAGCTTATCATCCAATTTCTGTTCCACTTGCTGTACAGTTGTGGTCTGACCTAATCTGTTCTCCAAAACCTCATTGCGTAAAGCTGTTATTTCCTCTAAGTAGGTGGTGAGGTTATCCTTATCCCTATTCCTGAGTCCTTTGGCTAGTAATATTATTTGTAACAGCAAGCTAACTGCCATTATGGCATATAGGCCAGTAATCGGCAGATAAGCGTCCTCTCAAACATTGAATTCACATAATAAGCAAAAATATTACCAATTTTAGCAAATGATAAATATTCTGCCACAATTTTACCTGATTTCTACTCCAGATGCAGTAACTATTTTTGACCAGCAGGTGGTGTAGGCATTCAGCTACTCAGCACAGCGTTTGTCAGCAGTCGGTCAGGTAAGATTGTGGTAGCTGTGGAGAGAGGTCACAAAAGCAGGTGTCCTTATCTTAGAGAGTATATGGCCTTGCAGCTGCAACCACTGAAAGAGATACGACTTTATGCTGCAGCAGCCAGGGGAAGCAGCTGCTGAAAGCCGAGGCCTACTCAGGCATGGGTAGGCCCCAGTGCAAGCAGGTCCCATGCATGCAGCTAGAAACTGTCTCCCAGCTGGGCAGACAGTTCAGAGAGGCTCAGCAGCAATGGAAATGCACTTGTGTGGGGCAGCGGGTGGGCTGCAAGCCGGGAGCACCTGTGGAGAGAGGGTGCTTTCCTGGCCTAGGCCTGCAGTACCAGTCGGACCTGCAGGCTGTTCCAAATGGGGCCAAGATCCCGCTCCTGACACCAGAAATGGTGGGAAATTACCAATACAGAGCCAGGTAGAAATACAAGGGATTTTAATATGGAAAAGTCTTACTTACAGAGTGACCTAGCCAACCTGCGGGCAGCAGTATGTACAGCAAGCCAAAAGTGAAACCGAAAGTGACCAGCCACCTGACCTCCTCTCACTCTACATCACCCTGACCATGCCTTCATAGGCATGGTCAGGCACACCTTTAGCCATCCCCTAAACAGACGTGGTTACAGTTTTCCTTACAACTATTTTAATTTAGATACTGTTCAATAGATAATATTTTTAATAATTTCAATATTTTTTTCTGCCCCACCAAAAAAAATAGAAAATGTCCTTTTTAATATCTGTAGTTTATGCAAAATGGCAAAGAAATAGAAGGAAATATGCTTTCATGTATATTTTAGTTTCTGGAGAGACATTGTTAATAAAATATATATGTATGTATCTGCATCTTCAAATACAGGAGACTTGAAATGCTATCTTTAACATTACTTCCTGAAAAATAAATCTTCCAGATGGTGTGTACATGCATATACATGATAGATTTTCCTACTATGAACCTTTTGGTGTTTATAACAATGTAATGAAAATATTTCTTTTGAGAGACAGGCAATATTTGTGAGTTCAAAGCCAGCCGGGTCTACCAAGCAACCTGGAGAACAGCTAGGGTGCCACAAAGAAATCCTTTCTCAAAAACAAAACAGAACACCAAAAAAAAAAGATAAAATACATCATCTTTTGTGTCCTACTTGATCATGTTTCTGTAAAGAAATTCAATCACTGCCTGACTCTAAATATGATAACATTTGAATATTTTCACCAAGACAAGGGTTACAAATCCTAATTTCTCAAGGGGGTCAAATGATTGAAATTAAGTTATTTTACATATGTTACTAGAGCAAAGATGCCATAATGAAGAACATAGAGAAGATAACTTAATGGTCAAATGTTAGGGACTGGAACATATGTATGCTGTTTAAGTGAGAATATTCTAATTGTTTCAGCTTTCTGCACACACATCTCAAAACATTTTAAAAGTAAATACATATCTTTATTTTATGTGTATGGATGTTTTGTCTGCATGTATGTCTGTATACTGTGTGTGCCCAGTGCCTACAGAAGGGAGAAGAGGTCATTTTATCTCCTGGAATTAGAGAGAGTTATGAGCTTTAATAGAGGTACTGATACATTCATTCACCTTCCAAACTGTGAAATTTAATGTTTTATTAGACTTTGGGAATATTACTGTTGAAAGCATAATCTCAATTTATAGCCCTGACTGCACTAGAATTTCCTATGTAGACCATGATAACTTGAATTCACAGAGATCAACTTGCCTATGTTTTCCAGGTAGTGGAGTTAATGGCATGCACCACCAGACTAGAATTGGTTCTCAAAACATAAGCACTGGTATATATTTCTATAATTTTTATGCTATTAACTCATATTAAAAATTATAACTTATACTGATATAAACAATGACTGTAATGTCACTTCAGAATATTACGAATTCTTAATATCTATCACAGGCTTAATGGTGATTGTTTTACATCATATATATTCTGTTTTAATTTTTCATTGTGTTCAATAAAGTAGTTTGTTACATAAAGATGTATTCATTAAAGTGTATGTTGTACATTTATCTTATTCTCTTTCTCTATACTTATTTTCCTTTTTTGCTCTGCTAACCATAGTCACATATACATACATGGTTGTATTTATTCATATAAGATCTAGGAACCATAAACATAAGAAAGTACAAAAGAAGCTTCCTTCTGACACTGGCTATATTGACTTAGTCCTAGTTGTATCAATTTTCCTGAAAGTCATATGCACAATATTTTATTTTAGATATTATGGGTCACAGCTTTTAAGGCTGTATAAAAAGTAGATAACCTATGCATGGTTGTGCCCAAAGTCTGGACCCCCCAAATCACCAAATGTCCAGATCTGATGAAGAAGCAAAGAGACTTTTAAATTATGGGTTAACTTGGGTCCTCCATCTGTCAGACGCATCAGATGGAGTAGGGGGGACCCTGAACAGCAATGGAGCAGGACATATATTTGGGGTAGAGCAAGGGGTGTGTCTGGAATTCTGGTAGATGCATAGTAACAGCCTCAGGATTAGCACAACTTGGATTGAGGTAACCTGTCCTGAGTTGATTGGTCAGGTGCAGATGCCATCCAAGAGCCAGTTGCTATCTACTGCATTCCACTATTATCAGTAAAGCACATCCAAAGCCAGACAGCTAACTTCTGATTGGTTCTTTACCACATGGAGGGAGATCTCGAATCATTTTCCCAAAAATTATGGCAAGGTTTGGCAAGATCAGGAGTTGGGAGGGGGGAGGGCTCAGCATATCCACCTGAGTCAGGGGCCTATACCTTGCTAGGTATTTTGTGTATCCTGTTATGGCTGCCAAAGCAAAGGGATGGGTGACAGTCTGGTGCCTTCAAGCATGTGTCATTTGCAAATTATGTGTCTAACTTTACAATTATTTTTAAATTTGAATTTATTTCTTCAATAAATTATTCTACACCCTGACACTATCTTTCACTTTCCTGATAACCCATTTTTGCTAGAGAACATTATTTTCATCTGGGGAATATATTCAGTCAAAGAAAAGTTAGACAGCTGTGAAAGTTATGAAATTAAACTTAAATGTATGTCAGAGAATTAAAACCTGGGGAGAAAATCAGAAGGGAGAAAAATGGGGGAGATGTGGTCAAACTATGTGTAAACTTTTCAATTAGTAAAGGTTCAAAAAACCCTAAAACAATAAAATTACAAAACCCTACTGAATTTAGGAAAGACTTATTTATTTATTTAAAATGACTACTTAATTTTGATGAAAATTGAATGAAGTAAAACAAGTTATACCCTTTAAAATGAACAAAGGTACAAACAAAAATGGTTAATATTTATCATAAAGGATTATAAGTGCATTAAAAGAAAAACACAATTAAAAGCTGTAAACAAACAAAAAGCCTAAAGTCATCAAACAACACCTGAAATACCCAACAAGTATCACAGTCAAAATGAGAGTAATAGAACCAGAAGAAGCATGGTGTAAACACAGAATAGGTTATAAGAGCTGCACTCCATGAAGAAAGGGGAAACAGATTCCATAAATCATTGAAAGAAATAATTTTAACTGTTGAAGAGTTTGAGATTCAGTGATATGGAATACATTGAGACACATCTGAGTCACATTAACAATAATAAATTTGAAATCAATTAGGAAAGCTTGAGATGGGGAGTTCATGCTTCACCACAGAACCTGAAACAGCATATGGAGTCAATTGGCACTTCCGGTTATTAGGTTCAAATTCGACACCAAAAGTGTCCTGACATTGTCCTAAGCAGAACAACTCTGGGTAAACAGAGGAATGTTACTGAGTCAACAGAAACATAAATTCAGCATTTCTCAGGTTTCTCATTAGGAGTGCTTATGTTTTGTTGTTGTTATTCTACAATTTCTTTTATTTTACTTTCTTTTATTGAAAATAGATTCATTTCTCATATAATGTATCTGAATTATAGTTTTGTTTCCCTCCCTCTATTCATCCCTCTATTCATCTCCCCTCCTATCTGCTTATACCCCATTTGTGTGTTCCATTATAAAATAAACTGGACTCTGAAAGTCAATAATAAAAATAAAATATAAGATAACACAGAAACTAACACACCAGAATAGTACAATACTTACAGACAGAAAAGAGAAACCAAGGAAAGGCACAAAAGCAGATAAATATTCAGAGAACCACTTATTTGCCTACACAAAAATCCCATAAAAACACAAAACTGGAAGACATAATAAAACCTGTATTTTTGTATTGCATATTTTATACATATGTAAAAGAAAAACTAAAAAGAAAAAAACTGACATGACATTATCATGAAACAAGAAACTGCCACAGATGCCATTGCATATTTTTGCTGAAGGCCCTCTAGTGTTGGGCATGAGGCCTACCCTTAAGAGTAGTTTGTTTCTCCAGTAATACTCCCTTACAGACAACAGATTTTCATTTGCAAGTGGTTATCAATTATAATGAGCTTTTAGGTTTTGCCAATGTAATTAACAAAATCTGTTGAAGACAGAATGAATTGTACAAGCAGGTAAAATATAGACAATAGATGGATTCATCCTGTGTCCTCAGAGAACAGTATGAGGAAATTTGTGCTTTGAGTAGACTGCTAAACCAAACTTCTGATATCCTATCATAGCATATGTATTATTATACATTTTGATGCTATTTTTCCTGATTCAATAAAATTTCAATTAGTTTTAGGGAAATTGAATAGCAGTTGTAAAAGCATGTGCAATAAAGTTTCAGAGCAAAACACTAAAATAAAAGGGAGGTAAAAAAGAAGTGGTAACAATACTGTTAAATCCTGTCACAATGGCAATTCTACACTAAGTACAGAAGAAATCACAGAGCATAAGAGCTTAAAGTTTCTGGCTCAAGAAAATCTAGTGCTAACAAACAGAGCATGTACTCACTATATATGGATCTTAGACATAGAGAAAAAGATTACCAGCCCACAATCCACACCTCCACAGAAGCTAGGTAACAAGGAGGATTCTAAGAGAGACACACGTGGACCCCCGGAGAAGGGGAAAGAGACAAGATCTCCTGAGCAAATTGGAAGCATGGGGAGGGGAGAGAGAGCTAGGAGAATGAGAAGGGGAGAAGAGGAGTGGGGAGGAGGACATGAGGGAGCAGAAAGGTAGAGTAGGGGGAAGAATAGAAGAAAACAAGATAAGAGATGCCTTAATAGAGGGAGACATTTTAGGTTTAAAGAGAAATTGGGTGCTAGGGAAATGTCTGGATATCTACAAAGATGACACCAACTAACAATCTAAGCAACAGAGGAGAGGCTACCTTAAATGCCCTCCCCTGATAAGGAGATTGATGACTGACTTATATGCCATCCTATAGCCTTCATCCAGCAGCTGTTGGAAGTAGAAGCAGACACACAATGCTAATCACTGAACTAAACTGGAATCCAGTTGCAAAGAAGGACTAGTGATGAGCAAAGGGGTCCAGATCAGGCTGGTGAAGCCCACAGAACCAGCTGACCTGAACAAGTGGGAGCTCTTGACCTCCAGACT